TCAATGTATTTATCTGGGGTAATAGGAATGCGAGAGTTGATATGTACTTGTGTATAAATAATTGCACGTTTGCATATTTATTTAAAAATAACCATATAGACATTTAATAACCGATAAGGTAAGCTTTATTTTACTTTATACATCTCTTCTCATTCTCCTTCCGTCCCATTACCAAAAATTTTACTTATTGGTTTATAATCCAATTAATGAACTGTGTGCCATGTCGAAACTGATTCTCTGCCTACAGTTTTGTTTGTGTTGGACAGCCTGGATGAATCATGGAAAAAAATAAAGCTGTTAGGTGAAAATGGCTTTTAGATTGGTGACATTTTATACATAGAATGCTTGCATATGGGTAGCATGTAAATGAATACCTAATATTGGAACCTGTGAATGCCAGGCCAGTCCTAGCACTATAGATCAGTACAAGCAGAGTGTAAAAGGTTTTTACCATGTGGAAGATGATGATTTTGATAGTAATAAGCCTTCTGTTTCTGTAGGTTTTTCTTTCTCATTTACAAATACCTTAATTCTATGAAATCAACAAGCAAGGTATAGTCTAAATTTTATAGATGAGAAAATTAAGACTCACAGTTATTAAATTGGTACACTCGTAAGATGACTAGCTAGTGATTGTCAGAGAAGAGGATTCTTGATCCTCAATAAGATACTGTTTCCATTTATTCTATACTGAGAATTACTCCTAAAGCAGGTGATCAGATGCTTAGGTCAGTTCTTGGTAAGGTGGTGAGGCATACGTCCTTCTTAATATCCTCCTAAAGGAAAGGCCTCTGGAAATGGACCATGTAGGGCAGAAGAGACATAGATATCCTTGACAGTCTCCATTTGTTTTGTGGCCTTGTACTAAGAGGGAGAGGAAAGAAAGCATATGCATCTTTGCTGCTTTTCTTAACTTTTAACAAGTCTTGTAATGGGAAGAAAAATTAGAGGTGAATTAGAAACTGTTGACTTCAATCTGTTTATTATTCATAGAGTTGAACAAATAGAACTCGGTTCTATATGAATAATAAAGAGGGTTTTGTTTGTTTGCTTTGGCTGGAAAGAATTCAGTGTGTTGAATTTGAGCCTCTAAGAATCTCTCACCTTGTCTGCTGTGGCATTGAGGAAGCCTCCCATCTCCAACAAAGGGGTGTCCCGTTGACTCAGATTTTATGTGGCACGGGTGTTGGGTTAGGTCTTCTACATCTCTTTATAGGAAGTTGTCTATGTGTTGGGCTACTGGTGACATTTACTTTAATAAACTTTTTTGGTAGTGGTTAGAAGCACAGAACTGCAGATTTCATCTCTGATAGGCCTCTTGACACTTTGATGCATGGTGGTGCTATCCCTGAATGGAGCTTAAATACTTGAAGGCTACTTTCTGAGTGGGTGAAGGGGTGTATAAAATGAGAACATATGGGAGAGTATTAACAGAAAAGCACACTTTGATTTACTGATACTGGCTTTCTACTTTCTTGTTGGATTGATATGCTATCTAATATATCTGCAATGGATTTTTAAAACTGACTTGAACGGAATAAAAAGGCTTGCGTAGCTACTCGAAAGTGGCCCTTAAAAGTTGTAGTCTTTCATTGGATGATTTCACAGTTCTTCGGTGTGCTACATGTTTGGGTCAAATTGTGACTCGCTTGTTGGCAAGTAGCCGTAAAGATTATAAAATGCACTGCAGCTTCTTCCCTGTGTGGTTCTTGATTTTATGTTTCAGATCATGGGTACATGGTACTTAGAGGAAGGAAAGGGCAGGCACTTTGCACTTCCTGTTTTTTAAGGGGGGTGTGTGTGTGAAAAATGCAACAAAAAATGTACAGATTTACCATTTTAAGTGTGCAGTTGGTTTAGTAATATTAAATATATTCCCATTGTTGTGCAGCTGGTCTCTAGAACTTTTCATCTTGCAAGACTGCAGACTGTCCCTGTTTAGTAACTCCGTTTCCTCATCTCCCTCTGCCATTGGCAAGTACTGTTCTACTTTTTGAATCTCTGTTTGATAACTGTAGGTATCTTATATAAGTGGAATTATATAATATTTGTCTGTTTTAATATTTGTCTTTTCATAATGATTTATTCCATTTAATGTCCTCGATGTTGATCCATATTGAAGCATGTGTCAGAATCTCCTTCTTTTTTAAGTCTGAATAATATTTCACTGCTTTTTTCTTCGTTTTGAAGAGGTTTAATTTGAAGTAATACAGATTATCTTTTTTTCTTGGCTATACCCAGATGTACTGGCATGAATTTAAGTATACAGGTCAATGCCATTAAATACATTTATATTGTATACAACCATCTCCAGAATTTTTTATCCTCTCAAACTGTGTACTTATTAAACAGTAATTCCCTACTCTGCCTCTTCCCCAGCTCCTAGTTACTACTATTCATAGAGACTTTCTGTCTCTATGTTGTTGTTGCTATTGCTGTTTTTCAGGGCTGGAGATTGAACCCAGGACCACATGCATGCTAAGAAAGTGGTATTCTACCACTGGGTTACATCCTCAGCCCTCTGTCTTATGAATTTGATTACCTTAGGTACCTCATGTAAGTGAAATTATACAGCATTTTTCCTTATGTGCTGCTAGGTTATGTCACTTAACCTAATATTTTCAAGGGCAGACTTGATCTGGGGTATCTTTAAAACCACTCTGAATATACACAGTGGATTTGTGGCTTAACTTTACAAAACAGGCTCTCTCTCTTAAGATACAGCCTTTTAGGCTGGAAGTGTAGCTCAGGAGTAGAGAGCTTACCTAGCATGTGAAAGGCCCAAGATTTTAATCTTCAGCCCCCCAAGCCAGAAACCACCTACCCCCATCCAAAAAAAGATACCACCATTTCTAGGAAAGAAAGTAGAAACTGGTTAATAGTTATGTAGCATTTCAGTGAAATGAGATTTTTGAATTTATATGGGCTTCCTTCTAGTATCTTTTTCCATTTTCTTAAGGCCTGTGCTACAACATATACTTTAGAACTTTAGCTACTGTGGGATATCTGTTTTAAAATTCTAACTTTTTTAAAGCAGGTCATTTATGGTAACATTTTGTAGTCTCTGCTTTCCTCTCTCCTTTCAAAAACTTCTATAGATTTACATAATTTTGTATTGTTTATATATTTAGCACATTTAGACTGAATAATTTTTTTTAAGACTGAATAATTCTTATCTTTAAAATTGTTGTATCTTGCTTCTTTTTTCTTCTTGACTGCCTTTCATCTTGTTTATATTCGTCCATTTCCTAAAAACTGACAGACAAAAGAATAATTCTGTAGTACATTTTTCTTCAGGAGAAACTTAACCTCCATATTTGGTAGAAAGTGCTCCCACCGTTTTTAAGATTGAGAGCAGCAGGTTAAGAATTTTGGTTTGGAACACAAGGCGTTTTGGATTTTTAAGGTAGTATTTATATATTACAGATCCTTCCAAATGGCGTGGATATGCATTATAAAATGATCAGAGTATAGGATTTAGAAAAGATGTGAGGGTCTTTTAAATAAAATTGTATTCATGCAGTTTTGTATAAGATTATCTGAAAGTAGGCAAAGAAGTTGGGTCGTGGAATAACTTCTGACCAGTCTGGGAAGGTTTTCTCAGGTTGGTCGGCGCTCAGCCTTGTATTGTAGTAGAGTTCTATGACACAACATCGAGAGCCTAACTTGTGCTACTGCCCCAGTGACAAATCTGGTAGGAATGTGAAATGGTGAGATGGCTGTTCAAAATAGGCAGGGTAGAATCAGACACAGAAAAGAAAGAATGGGACTCACAGATCACTTTAAAAGGTTTTGTAGGGGCGGAGGCTTGTGCAGGCTGAAGTTAGTATGGAATATAAAATAAAAATGAATGTAGGGGTTGCTGTCTAAGGGGTGCTTGTGAGATTACAGTTACTTAAAAGGAAGGAAGAAATGACAGAAGCATGGCTAGAGATAAATGGACAATTATTAGTCATAATATGAATAAAAATAGAGTTTAGCAACAATGAAGTATATGGGGTAAAGGCATACAAATGTCATTCTCCTATGAAAACACATTAAGGATAAAACAAATTCAGAGAAGGGAAAAGTATTAAGTAGGAAGAAAAGAGTTTTCTGTTTCTGACATGATATGCTGAAGGTGTGATAGAGTCATGTGAAGATTTTCTGGCAGTTGCAGGAAATGTGAAAGTTTGATTATAGGCGAGGAATCTGAGTGCTCTCAACACATAAATGGTGATTATCAGTGTCTGGTTAACCTCTTTAGTAGGATTATTTTGATAGAGAAGGCAAGAGTTCAGTTCTCATAGGACCAGTTTTTATTCTGAAAGTTCTTAACCATAGAGTGTATATCTAATCCTGAGCAGCTATGTTGTAACCGTGGCCTGTTGGCTATGAGAAGCAGGTGAGAGCATAGTCTCCAAGTACATATTTATGTATATAATTCATATATTAATGTGAATTAACATGTGTTCATATATTCAGGAAACCATTAACTTGGATTTTCACATGTGAACAGGAACATTCCATAAGGAGTGTGTGAGTGATTGAGAGAATGATCTGCCACTCACACCAGAGGCAAATAAGCTCTGGGAGAGAAGTGGGAGTGGGGAGTAATCCAGTCCTGAGTTTTGCTCTTTAGAAGAGGAATTGCCTGAGGAATTAACCAAATCCAAGAGAGCAGTGGGTAACCTTAGAAATGTATAGTTTAATGTTACAATGACAGGCAGGGGGCAGTTTGTCGCATTTAAATTTAAGAACTTACGATTTATTGAAAGTTTGGGTAAGAGATACTTTTCAAAGCACCTTCCACGTATTATCTTGTTTCTCGAAACAATCCTAGGCACTGTTGTTATTTCCATTGGGAATTGTGTATTCCGGAGAGTTCTGAGTGTGTCTTGCATCTCCCCTTGTACTCCCCCCTGCCAGAGCTGCTTGGGAGTCACGAGTTACAGATATTACCCACTTTGGAGAATTGTAGTGATTAATTGTCCCTTCTCTGGGTCTTATTTCCTCCCCAGGTCACAAGGCACTTAAAGCATTGTTGAGGTCGTTGGTAGATCTTCAGGAAGAGTTGCTTTTCCAGTACCCAGATACTAGATATCTAGTAGAAGGAACGAAGCCAAAAGAGGAAAGGTAAGGAGGGAATGGAACTGTGGAGTGGTTTCTGTTCATCTAGATAGTTTCCCATCTCTTACGAGAGAGAAAGCCATCTTTCTCAGGTAGATATCCGACTTGATTTTAGTAAAATAGAAAGGGCTTCATAGATAAACATGTGCCGCCATGTACTTGGAAGGCTAAGGCAGGAGAGTTACAAATTTAAACCAGCCTGGAGAATGTAGTGAGGCCTTGTGTCAAAAATTTAAAAAGGGATGGAGATGTAGTTCATTGGTAGAGCACTTGCCTAGCATGTGCAAGGCCCTGATTTCAATCCTTGGTATTGCCTTGCACAAAAAAAAAAAAAAAAAAGAGCCCTTTACAATTAATAGATAGTCAAGAGACACATAAATTTAGAATTTGATTTTGGATTTTTATCTTTAGTTGTATCTGATTCTCTCTGTGGGCTTAGGAAAAAGATTTGCCTGCTCTTAGGTCTGTTGGGCTTAGGAGATGAAAGCACATTTTGAATGTTAGTGCTTAATGTTTTGAAGTACTTTGTGCTGGTACAACGGCATCACTGGTCACAACCATCTACAGTGAAGGAAGAAGTTGTTTCAAAGGGTAGAAAGATTTCAGGAAACAATGGCAAAATAAACATTTTTCTTTTTTGAAATTACTGCATTTGATGAAGGTTTTCCTTTCTTTGTTTGAGCTTGCTTTATATGGCACCTGCTTCCTTTTTTGCAGTGGGTTTGTCTTGCTTGGTTATTTTCTACTGAACTGGTTGGAAGGACAGAAAGGAAGCTTACATTTGTTGAGTATGTGCGTAGTGCATGTTGGGTCAGTACTCCAGTGAGTACAGCTGGCTGTATAGCTGAGTTTGTGTTACATTCTCCTGGCAGTTACAGGTACAGCCATCTCTAGGTATCCATGGAAATTAATTCCAGGATCCAGCATGATACCAGAATCTGTAGAGGCTCAGGCCAGTGTCTGTCTGTCCATCTATCAGTGTCCCTCTGTCCCTCTGCAGTGCTATGGATGATGCCCAGAGCCTCACTTATGCTATCAAGATCCTTATGTAAAATGCTATAGTATTTGCATATAATCACACATGTCCTCTCATATACTTTAAATCACCTCTAGATTGCTTTTAGTACCTGATATGATCTAGGTGCTATATAAATAGTTACTTGATTTAGGGAATGAAAATGGCAGGAAAATATATGTTTAAAACATGTTTAATGCAGACACAAATTTTTTTCCTGAATATTTTTGATCCACGTTTGACTGACTCCATGAATTCAGAGTGCTGTTGTGTTGCAGTTTAGCACAGATTTGGGTGCCTACCCCTTTGAATTTTCTTCACGTTCACCTTTTCTTCATGTTATGTTTATGTTCTGTTATTTACCATTCCTGAATAGTTGTTACAGAGACACATTTCTCTTATTGATTTGGGGATTAAGGTCATAGAAATATGATTATGTGTTTAATTTTTAAAGACCCTTCTGCAACAGTGCAGGCTTGGTTCATAGGCATTTCTAATAATGTTTTTACAACCTCATTTATTTTTAGTTTGCTTACCTTTTAAAAAATATTTTTGAAACTCAAGTGCTTTTTATATTTGTTTGAAAAGTTACATGAGCTTTTTGATTGACTTCATGAACATTGTTTTCAAACCAAAAAAAAAGCCATCCTCATATCTGTGGTGTTGTTTAAAATGTAGATAGAATAGATAAGCCCTAAACACTTCATGTGAGGCTAGTTTTTTTTTTAATCTAAGTAATATTGGACTCTTGCATTCTTACCTGTTTTTCAGTGAGGAGATTTCTAGTGAAGATGATGAACCAGTGGACAAAAAGCAGAAGAAAAAGGCACTGCCGAAGAGGAAGCTGGAGATGGATGCCTATCCTGGCTTCATGGCAAAGCGCTTTGCTGACTTTACTGTCTACAGGAACCGCACACTACAGAAGTGGCATGATAAAACCAAACTGGCTTCTGGAAAGCTGGGCAAGGCAAGTGTGTGTGTGTGTGTGTGTGTGTGTGTGTAGGTTGTAGCAACCTAAGGCAGTTGTATGAGATTGAGAAATTGGAGCTGTAGTTCGTTTATATGGATGTTGTTGTGGTGGAATAGTGATCAGTCATTTCTCTCACAAAATTTATAGAACTTTTGCCATTTGGGTCATATTATTTAAACTTGGGACTTCTAAGTTTATTAGAGAGAATGTTTTATTGTTGAAACCCTATAGCCTTGTAAGCATTTAACTGCTGAGAATACAAAGTACTTTAAAGAAATAGATTTTAAAACAATTATCATTAAAGGACCAGAATTTAATCTGTAGCTATAGGAAAGTGATATGACCTGCTTAACACCCATTTTTTTTTTTTCATGAGAACAATTACAGCCACTCACAAACTCAGTCCTTAGCAGAAAGTCCCTTCTGAAAAGACGATGGTCTGTTTCTGTGCTGACAAGGAAAGATAGGGAAGCCGTTGTAGCTGCCTTCAGCACGGACTTGCTGTATTATCTGACACTGGTTAATGTTGCAGGGTTTTGGTGCCTTTGAACGCTCAATCTTGACACAGATTGATCACATTTTGATGGACAAAGAAAGATTACTTCGAAGGACACAAACCAAGCGCTCTGTCTACCGAGTTCTTGGCAAACCAGAACCAGCAGCTCTGCCTGTCCCAGAGAGTTTGCCAGGAGAACCGGTAAGAACTCTGTGGTGCAGGGTGAGTATGGGGAGCAGCTTCTGTCAGGCTAATTAAATGAAGAACTTGTGGGCATTACCTCTTGGTATAAATGAGCGAAAAAGTAAAATGTGAGTACTGCTTTATTGGGTTGTAAAGAAACTTAAGAGTGTCTGTAGGGGATTTTTTTAAAAAATGGAGTTTTACTAATTGTTGTATTGTTTTAGTCTTGTGTGATATGAGTCAGGTAGAGGAAACATTTGTAAGATTTGTTTAAAGATTTATTTAAAATCTTTTTAAGATTCTGTTTTTATTTTGGGGGAGGGTTTGTTGTAGAGCTCATGCTCAGGGGTTTAGACATGTTGGGCATCACTGTACCACTGATCTACACCACTAGCCCTTCAGATTTAGTTTTTGGTTTTGTTTCTTTTGGTTTTTTGGGATAAGAGTTTCACTACGTAGTTCAGGCTGGCCTTGAACTCACTATGTAGCCCAGGCTGGCCTTGAATTGACAGCGATCTTTCTGCCTCAGCCTTATGAGGACTGGGATTGCAGACCTGTGCCATCAGACCTGGCTAAGATTTAGTGGATTTTGTTTGTTTGTTTGTTTGTTTGTTTTGGTACCAGGAATCAAATGCAGGACCTCACACTTTCGAGGCAGGTGCTGAGCCACTGAGCCATATCCCCAGGAAGATTTAGTTTTATAGCCGCTCTTAGGAATGTTAGTGCTGAAGCAAGTATGTATTTTGGCTTAATGTTGCTGTTTACTCAGAAAAGGATCCAGAATGGGAATAGTCAAATTCTTTTGTTTAAAGGAAACATTTTTTTAATTATAAAAGAAATGTATACTTAATTCCTTTTAAGTTCATAAGAATTTAAAATAAAATTCTTCCTTTTCTAAGAATTCTATCCCTCAGATAACAATAGTTGTGACAAGCCTTATGCATATAACATATACTTACTCCAAAATATGGTTATCTTTTTCTTTTTGCTAAATGGAATAGTATGGGTGTATATAAATATATAAAATATTACAGTTGCATTTAAAATCTTACAACTTTTTAAATTTAATATATTCTAGACAACTGCTTTTCCATATCATTACAGAGAGATCCACTTCATTTTTCCAAATGCAGAGGATTCCATTGGGTGGATGTATACCGTAGTTTAGTTAAACTCTGGATAATTTGTCTCCATTTTAAGAAACACCACCATTGAAAACATTGCTGAACATTTGTAGCTGTGTGTTTATCTGAACATATGGATAGATTTCTTAAGCTGAAAATGTTAAAGAAAATATACTGCATTAATTTGTAGTCCTTTCAGCTGTATTCTCTAGTCCTGAATACTTGTCACTCTTAAAGTTGGAAAAGAATATTTTCTCATCTTAATTTGCATGGATTTAATTATAGGGAGGCAACACATAAAGGATTGAAACCAAGTATACTGTGTCACTGACTACATCCTTAGCCTTTTCTTTGAGACAAGGTCTTACTCAGTTGCGTAGGTAGGACTCAAGCTTAGAATTCTCCTGCCCCAGGCTGTCTCAGTGCTGGGATCATAGTTGTGAACCCATGCCCAGCTTTTGCTTCTAAGAGCTCTTCATATCTTAAGGGAAATAGTACTTTGACAGTTAGATATATTATTTAAAATAGCTGTGTTACTTTGATAAGCTTTTTGAGATTCACCTTACTTCTCATTGACCTAGGAGATCCTTCCTCAAGTCCCTGCCAATGCTCACTTGAAGGACTTGGATGAAGAAATCTTTGATGATGACGACTTTTACCACCAGGTGTGATTTTTTTTTTTTAACTGTCTTGTTCTTTTACAAGTCAGATTTTTAGCGTTTTAAAATAGCTAATAGACTCCTCTGAACAAAAGGTAGCTTATTTTGGAAAACAGTTAAGAGAAACGGTTAGAATTCTGCATTCAGAGTTTTTGTTTGTTTGTTCTTTTGGTACCGAGAATCAAACCCAGGATCTTGTGCTTGCCAGGCATGTGCTGTACCACTGAGCTAGATCCTCGGCCCTTGAGTGTCATTCTGGATTGTTGCTTTTCTTCTATTTTATGTTTTCCCTTTGAAATGAAAACAGCTATGGCTATGGCATGTTGGTATTGTTGGGGTATAAGTTATGTGTAAGACAGTTTTAGCTTCTTGGAGTCATGTGCGTTATTCTTTGTCAGCCATTTTCGATAATGTTAATGTAGGACATAGTGTTGGTTTTTTGGTTTCTTGTTCCATTACTATTATAATTTTTTCTTTGTTTCCTTGAGATAGGGTCTCACTATGTGGTTCAGGCTGACCTTGAACTCACTGTGTAGGACAGGCTGGTCTTGAACTCATGGCAGTCGTCTTGCCTCAGCCTCCTGAGTACTAGGACTATAGGCATGTGCCACCATGCCTGGCTTGTTCTGTTACTATGAGAGTAGGACATAGTGCTAAAGGGCTAGGATTTCAAAATTCTGGAATTATACCTCTGGTTCTATAACCACTTAAGTCTCTTGTTTTCAGTGTTTTTCTGCCTGTTCAAATCAATCAAGTGTGCACTGAGAGTATCTGCTACTAGTGATTGTAATATAAATGCTTTAATGACAAAGATTTGATAGAAGGTAAAGTATAGTCCACTTCTCAGTATCTCTTCACAAATGTCCCCTCCAGTTGTTTGCCTGACATGATCTTGTTTTGGGCTTTTGGGTTAGGAGGGGGAGACTGGGGATGGAACCCAAGAATTTAGTACTAAGCTACATCTCCAGCCTTTTTTTAAGACAGGTTTTTGCGAAGTTGGCCAGGCTGGTCTTAAACTTGCAATCTTCCTTCCTCAGCCTCCCAGAGTGCTGGGATTACAGGCATATGCCACCATGCCTGGCATATTTGAGCTAAAGAACCAAAGTAACTTCTTGTATACCTGGGTCTCTTGAAAAGTTATGCTGTACTTACTAATGAAATATGCTTTAGGCTGTACCCTTTAGAGCTCAGTGGAGAATTGAAGTTACTGTTCAGCAGTGATATACTGATTTTTTTTGAGCCATTGTATATCAAGATAAAATTTTTTTCTGTGCTGAATCTTGAGTGTGTTAACTTTTGCTAGAGTATTTAGCAAATTTGTTTGTTTGTTGAAGGTGTAGTCATGATGGCTATACTTTGTACATGATATGATTTTAAAAATACAGTTCATGTTTAAATTTTTTAAAATTATTAAAGTAAAAGACACTTTGCCGTTAATCCCCCTCAAAACACTCCCCCCGCCCCCCCAGTATTCTTATGCCATGCATCTTACTACTTTTTGAATCAGTTCTGGAAGGTCTCTTCTGTGGATGTCTTTTTAGTTGTACTGTCACGGCAGCCTCAGTGTCCTGAATAGATTTAAAATGTTTACTTTTCATGGTCATTTTGACTTTGGAGAGAGCCAGAAGTCACATGGTACCAGATCGGGTGGATGAGGACACACACTAATGTTTTTATGAGCCTGACTTTCTGTTCAGTGGCACTCAGCAGTAGCATTCAACATATTTTTGATCACATCTCGTAAAGACACTCATGAAAGAGGACTTCCAGAACTGATTCAGAAAGTGGCAAGAAAGATTGGATGAGTGTGTTTGAAGCAAGGGATAATATTTTGAAGGGGATTAATGGCAGTGTGTCTTTCACTATAATAAGTTTTTAATATTTAAACACTTTTATATTTTGATCACCCTTGTATATGAGTATGAACAAAGAAACTTCTTAGGAAGTTACATGTATAACCATAACTGATGATTGTATATTGGGAATACCTCTCATTTTGCCCTAAAAAGAGACTTTCTGTTAATCTTTTTATTCATTCTCTAGCACTCAGTAAACATAATGCCATAAGGGAGTCTGAAAAAGAGTGATCAGAGGGTGTAGGAAAGAGGATTGGTGTGGCCTCAGCTGTTCCCAGTCAGGGGTTCCCGATTTTTTTCCCTGTTCCTCTCTCCTTATGTCTATTTGTCAGAGGAGTAGGGAATTCTGTTTTGTTCTGGAGTGTCTAAGGAAGTACCTGATATGGGATATTAATGCTGTATAATTGTGTGAGATCACAGGAGACAATCAAAAATGTTCCAGTTATTAATTGAAGTGTGCATTGTCCGATGGAAAGTGCACCATAAATTAAATCGGCTTAGTAACATAAACTGAAATTACTGGGGAGAAGTTGTTTCTTCTGGCAAGCCTTAGTCTGAAAGTTTTTTTTTTTTATTTTCATCCTTTTTTTAGGCCTGGAAATCTGCTTAAGAAGAAATTGCATTACTTGATTGGCCCTTCTTCCCAATTAATAATTTTAACTTCGATAAATTCTGATTTCAGAGTTATGACTAGTCACATCTTAGCTTTTCCCCTTGTTGGTTAATTGGGGTGCTGGGGTTAATCTAAATTAAAACTTAAACTAATAGAGGTCAGCAAGGCAGCTGAAACACCTGAGTGAAACAAATGGGGCTGCCAGGCGCAACTTTATCTTGGCTGTTTCCCAAGAGGGAAGTGGCAGCAAATTGGAGTTGTTTCAGCCTTCTGTAAAGGTGAATGATGGGTGACACTTGTTAATGTACAGCATCTCCGGAAGTATTCCAGATTGCTTTGCCACTGTACCAACTGCTGCCATCCATGCACAGTCGGTAGGAACTGGACCAGTTACCAACATCTGGCAGCACAGCAAGGAATGGGTGCAAGCCTTGAAACCCCACAGATTCTAAATATGGTGCTTAGACTGTGCAGGCTTTAATCACTTACCGCTCTTTGGCAGCAAGCTACGACAGCTTATCCTGGCCTCGTACATCACATCCCGACATCTGCTGAGCTCAAGGCAGCTGCGCATTCATTTTCTCTACTTGCCTTTCTCTTTGCTTCCTTTTCCTCCTCATCGTCCCGCTCCCCCCTCACTCCTACCTCCCCTCAGTTTTCCTCCCCCTCCCCAATATGCTCCCTGGGAGAGATGATCTGTAAAGATTACTGCTTCATTGTGTGCAAGTAATTGTGGTGATGCCAGGCCCTTGACAGACACAACGTAGCACCTGTTCTGCTGACCTGGTTAATTTCTTCTGTTGAGTGGGATTTGCCAGAGATTGGAGCTGAAGCCAATTCAATGATAAGGCTAAAGAAAATGGCTGTATGTTTTCTGTCACCTCCCAATTAAATTGGCTTCATAAAGTGCTTTCCTTTATTTGTCAGGATAGTAAGCCTGAGCTAAGTGTTGCATTCAGAAGTGGTACAGTGTACTACAATGGGTCTGTGAGTTTTCGTGTGTGTGTGTGTGTGTGTGTGTGTGTGTCTTTTAAATGTGCTCATATGGACAAGCTGGGTGCTGAAAATAATACCTTTTGCCTTTTTTTTTTTTAAACCCTCTTGAAGCCAGGCTCATTGGGCCCATGTTTTGTAAGGAAGAGATTATAGCCACATTGAATTTTAATGTTTCATTGTAAGGGTTTAAAGGCTTAACTTGGTTAATTCAGGTGTCATGAAGCTGTGTACATGCCCTAACTACTGAGAGTAATGTACAGGTCAGAACGTCCTATACACACACACACACACACACACACACACACACACACAAGCTTTCTCACACACATATCCATTCTCACTTTCATTCTCTTTGTCTCTTAATGGGCCTTAAGTCACTACAGTTTTAGAAATAGGCATTACTGGGGCTGGGGATTTAGCTCAGTGGCAAAAGCGCCTACCTGGCATGGGCAAGGCCGTGAGTTCGGTTCCCAGTACCGGAGAAAAACCAGAAAAACCAAAGAAAAACCAAGAAATAGGCATTACTGAAGTGAAGTGTGGGGCTGTGTGTGTGTGTGTGTATATATATATATATATATATATATATATGTATATATATATACATATACATACTTAGATGGCTGCAAATACAGTATATGTATGAGAGGGACTGAAGACAGTGTCAGATATAATAAAAACCCCTATCATTTTTAGAGTTGAAAAAGAGGCACCTGAGTCCCTGAGAAGTGACTTCCTGAAATTACATAGCAAACAGCAATGGCAACACTAGTACTCGATCCGAGGACTGCTTAAATCAAGTCTTGTTCTCTCTCCCTCTCTCCCTTCTTTTGAGACAGGATTTCACTACATAGTCCAGACTGTCCTCAAACTCACAATCCTTCTACCTCAGCCTCCCCCGCAACTGGAATTACAGCTGCGTAGTACCCTGTGCCCAGCTTTTGTTCTTTCTGTATACCTTTATTTTTTAAACATTTCATTCTTGAGCCATAAAAAGATTTCACTATACTGTTACAGCTTTCAGTTTGTAAATAAATAAGGTTCATTCTCTTAGAACTGGAAGAATTATTATGTTGTTAGAGCGTAATTTTTTTCCTTAGAAAGCAAATGATTTATTGAACTCCTGTTACTTAACAATTCTATTGAAAAAAATTAGTCTTATAATTTTGTTACTGGTTTGTTTGGAAACTAGAACTGCCAAAAGCTTGTGTACAGCCAGTGGGGAAGGTTTTATGAGAGAAACCATTCACTGGCTGCAGAAAAGCATGTAAGGATTTACTTTTAAATAGAATTAGTTTGCATTTGGCCTATTTCTTGTGGAAGCTCATCCCTAAAGACAACTTTACAAAACATGAAGGTTATAAATGACTGTGAAGGATGGCCCATTCAGAAATGTTTTCAGGATCTGTTTTTCATTTTCATGATCCTAGTGGCCACTTTATAACATTAAGTTCTTCTAAGGTGTATGGTATATGCTGCGATTTAAGATTTTTCTTTTACTTTGCTTTTTTCAAACCATCAGATAATCTTTGATTTTATAAGCC